AGGAATGCTCCTTCCTTTCACAGTTGTCTCACTCGTACTAAAAGCAGCCTATGCTTGAACCTACCTGCCTTGCCAACTGTCCTGTTCTCCTTTAACTCTCGAGGGCCACTGAAGAGTTTTTATACTGTATCAAGTGCTCTTCCAGCTAGCTCCCTCAGACTCAAGTTGCTGATCCTTTCATTCACCTGGTATCACTCCAAGTTTCTATCGACCTCCTCTGAAGCAGGATCAGCGAGTACTCTGGGCTGGGTCAGACAAGCTCTCTCAGCACCGTAAATCTGCTACTTTTTCTTGAAAGCTCTTCCATACTAAAAACCTCTTCTGAAGTTTCTGCTCGTGTGTCTAATCACTGCTAATCTGGCCATGGACCAACCCATGTTAACATCAACTTATTCCAGTTTTCTTTGAGTATTCAGTAGAGGTCTATCCTTCATCCTCGTTTCTTTCCTCATATACTTTGTGTCTCAAATACAAGACAAATTCAGAACCAATTCCTGCATTAGAGTTCCTTTTTTCTCCCCACTCTATAACACAAAACAAACAGTCTATCCATTTAATGTGTTTTGGATGTCTAACCATCAACTCAAGCTTCCCTGGTTGCTGCAGACACCATTGCCACACATTTCTGACGTCAATGCCAACAACCTAGATGTGCCAGTTGATTCAGGGTTTGCTTCAAGTTCTTCTATCCAGCCAAATGTTTTGAACAGTCTTCTCATGCAATACCTCCAAGACAGCCTTTTCTTCCTGTGCTCATGGCTAAAATTCAGGTCTACGTTCTCATCACTCCATACCTCAGTGTAACGTTTCCTCTCTTCTCCCCTTGCCTGGCCTTAGCACGTGCAGCCTTGTCACACTAATAGATTTCCGGGATGTTGCTGAATTTTCCCAGTTCACTGCCTTCAACAATGAACTCCCATGTGTTTACATGTAAAATGAGTCGTCTTCCCTTTTCTTGCCTATATCAGCCTCCAGGAAACACCTTTTCAGTTTTAAAGGAGATAATCATGACCTCTCTCTTGCAGCAGCTTCACACAGAAGTAAATTTCAATGCTGAGGTCAACAAAGCCACACCACAACCCTTCCCCTAAAACCCTTTTATTGCAAGGCCCCCAAACCACTTAACGATGACTAAGCTTCTGATGTGCTGAAGTTCATCAACCATCATGCTGACAAACGTTACATCATTTTCCCCACACTTTTAACTCCAAGTATGCATATTGACCTCCATCTTCTCTTGAATTTGGATTTAAGTTCCTTGAGATAGGGAATGTGGGTTTTTTTCTGTTCATATGTTAGCTCACTTGCTGACACCCTACTCCATGGCTGAGGCTCTTACACATTGTGATGATAATAATAATAATTAACAACAAGCTAAATACCCCATTAGAGGCAACGATGGGAACAAGGAAAAAAAATAGAATGTTACTTTCAGGATAAAATGGGTCTCTCAAAACATGCGAGTACCATGTTAATACTATTCTCTTTAAGCTTTGATATCTACCAGCTCGGACAAATGTCACTTGAAGTCTTTGTTCCGCAGAGACAGACTTCATTAAAACTACAAGAAATTCAGCTTCCTTTAGTACTGCCAAACCTTCCAATGCACTGTTAACGTCTTTGAGGCATTATGTTTAAACATCACTACTAAAAGCAGCAGCCACTATAAATAAATTACTTCAGTTCAGGAAAATGCATCCAATTTACTTGGCTCTGGTAATAATGCAGTAATGTTTTTCTAGACCAGGACTTAACACATTACCTTTCTTGTTTTGCCACTGTTGTCAATCTGTCATGTGACTATTTCACTTCCATTTCCACACACTAAGAAGCCAAGCTGATTAAAACCCTGACAGTTTCACGTGTACATGACTATCCTGTTCCTCATACTTTCCTCACATTCCAGGTTAAAAAACCCCTCAAAAACAAAACAACAACAACATCCCCAAGTCTGACATTTCTAGTCAAGCATTTATAACTGAACTGACGTTTTATGCATGAATGCACACAGGTTTTAACAGAAAGACAACTTTCAGTCCATAAGATGAACAATCATGCCCTCATAGAAGGTACATACAAGATTTCACCTTGCATAAAGAAATCGAACTTTGGATTGTACCAAGGTATTTATGAGTTTGGTTTTTTTTTCTTCCAGTTAGATCTCAGGAAACATGCTCATCACAAGAAGACATTTCTACAAGTGCTAGGATTTAAAAAAAAAGTTAAACATCCTGTGAAAGAAGAACAAATCCAGTAAGATGTGCAAATACATTTGAAAATGCTTGTTAACATCTGATTTGGTTGATCAGTATTTGACCAACAATAGCTGATCAGGAAAAGGGACTGCAAAAGGGATGCTACAAAACTTTTGTTGATAGCACAAAATTGGAAATACAACTTCAGACTGGAAGATGATTTCAGTGTGAGTCACTAGGCTTAGTAATTAAACCGTGTGTGTACATTGATACGATTACAGGAAGCAAAATTTAATTACTGCAAAAGATTAACATCAAGAAAGAAACTATACCTGAACTTCTTAAGTAGCAAAAACCTCCTTCACATCTTTAAAATAACTGTGGTGAAACATGGAACAACTGTGTACAGAGAAAGTAGCTCAGCCTTTATAGGCAATGGGGATTCCTGTATTTCCATATCAATAACCAGGTTATTAGAGAGTGGTCTGCCAGAGAAAAATGCCGGGCGTATATATGCATGACAGCAATAAGAGGGGACATTTCAGAGCATGCCCTCCTAGTTCTACAACCGCCATCGGTCCAACTACCTCTTTTCCCTAACCTGGGACTTCTGCACAAGAAATCCCATTTGTCACCTCATCCCAACACCATACGCTGCATACCCCACTTCTTAGTGAGGCTCCATCTGAATCCCTCCATCCTTGCTTCCACCACGCTCTGACACTTGGCAGCCTCCTGCTTTAGCAAGAGCTCTCCCGAGAGGAACAGCAGGCCATGGAGCAAGTATCGTCTGTCCACCACTGCGAGCAAAGAGGAGGGGAATTGCCCACCACAGGGGGCAAAGAGGAGGATGCTGGGAAACATCAGTAAAAAGGGGAGAGGGGAAGAAGGCTGGGGTGCCGAGGAATTACAAGACAGAGGCACAGAGGGACAACAACAATGCTTTGAAGCAAGTCAAACGCACAGCTCACGGTTGCTGTTTACAGTATGGCACAGGGTGGCAAGTCAGTCAGAGCAGTGGTCAGCTACCAGAGGACATTATATCCATGACCTCTCCGCAGACCAAATAGCAGCAACAGGTGGGAACCAGCCTGTGCCAAATCACTATAAGCACTTACTTGTGCCAGGTTTTAATAAGCGGGAACTTTGTATCTTATGAAAAATACAAAATGTTGATACTCTAGATATTCCAAGAGAGATACAAACCCCCCAAATTAACAATCCAATTATGCCAGACATCAGAACCTGAGCAGCAGCAGGTCACATAAAACACAAGCATGAATCCCAGTGAAAAATAAAGAACACTACAAGACCCTGAAAGAAGCCCACAGGAGCACTTAACTCACCTCCTGACCAGACTTTGCAGAGTTTTCTGAATGGAGAGATTCAATTTCCCCTTCAATCATTGCAGCTTCTAGGCACTCATGCAGATCTTTAAAGCCATTCACCTGGAGTGGATACTGGCCAAACATTTCTGTGTTTTCAAATTTTTTGCCTTCACATAAGAAATTAAACAGTTAAGGTTTTAGGAACAAATATTAGCCGTTAAAAAACCCTAACAATCCTAGGTCACCTCACCTAGTCTACTGAACAATATCCACATTTTCTTATTGATGAATTCAATTATATGTATGAAAACAAGTTACTCAAAAAAGTTGAACGTAACATTGAGAATTACTGTATTTTCCTCTTCAGCCCATTTTTTATATTGTTTTTGCATCTATTGCTAATAAGCAAAACAAAAAATTACTTGGCACCAGAGATGTATGGGAAGTTATACACATATAAATCAAAGTCCTCCTCCTGCAAACAGCAGCTCAGTAATACAACCCTACGTTGTACCAAAGTCAGTGGAATTGCTGGTATGAAATAGCCCTTTGTATAAGTACATTTTGCAAAAATAAACAACAAAAGAGAACATTCATGATTTCTGTCCTGAAAACAAGACCATAATTTGGTAACAGTGTATAAAGATGTAAGGTCAAACATAGGAGAAATAAGGGTGACAAGTGATTTCAATCTACAATTTCGATTTATTTCATCCTAAAGTCAGTAACATGTCTTCTTACACCCACCAGTTTCTTTTCATTGGTTTGATTTTTACATGTCTCCTCAGTTAAGATGAGAACCTAAGGGATGAAAGTAGCTGAACCCAAAGGAGCAAGAATACTAGCTAATAGCAAGGAATCTGCAGAATGGTTTTGAAATCTGACAACAAATCATTAGATACACAGTTCCGGACCAAGGAACAATCTGGAAGCCACCTTAAAGATTATAGCTGCTTCATTCAGATGCATCTCAGGAGTCATTCACTCTCGGGATGGAGGACAGAATCACCAACGTTAAAAATACTTTCACAACTGCTGGCCTCCTGGAAATAGAGAATGATGCAATTCTGCGCACCTACTAACTATACGCAGATCAGATAAAGGGAAGCTTGTTGTACAGTCTCTTCCTCTTCAGTACTATCTCCGACACTCCCCTTGAACAGGTTCCCACTGACTTGTTTTCAACGCACTGTACTTTTAAGAGGGTGAGTTATCCATAACAGAAATTGTGCAAAAGAAAAGGTGATAATTGAAATTTTAAATTGCATTAAATGAAGCAGAGAAAGTGTGAGAGACTAGCTCAATGAAACACAGTTAACTGTCTTCCATATATCATTAGTAAGTGGCAAAGTGCGCTGATAATAATTTCTTGCGAGCATTTTTGCTCAACTTCTCACCCTAACTTCTACTGCACTTAAGTACATACACTCAACTCCTGAAAGTTATCAAAACAGTCTTTCTGGACCACTGCAGCTCACTACGTTTACCATCACAGTCTCATATTCTCAGGACAAACCTTTATCACATATCAAATGTGTGTTCTCCAAGTGCACTTCTGCAGAAGTAGCTAAAATGCTACAACCGCATCATTCACTTTTGTACTTAGACACGCAATAAACAGACACGGGCACAGAAGTCAAAGTAAATTCAGATTCATACCTTCAAGTACACCTACTGCTAGAAATCGTCCATAAAACAGCTCCACCATTGGGTTCTTTGGTTTCTCTCCATCCCTGAAAACAGGAAGCATGTTATTGCAAAAATCAAGCACAAAGCTATGAACTTTCATAAAACCATGAGCAGAATATTCTGAATTCATTATGGAAATGCTGCCTATTTTACTCAGTTACTGTTCATTAAGTTTTGCATTTTCCTCTAATGACAATAGCAATGATTCACATATTTGCAATGATAAGTATATTGTGAAAATTAAGTCTTAGAAGTGCTTCATTCTAGGAAAATTTATGTAAATCTGATTCAATTCGTGAGCGGTTAAATTGTACGAAACCCTTATAAAAACTATTTCCTGCAACATTCTAGAAACAATTATGCATTCAAAAGACAGTTTACAGATGTTCACTTATACAGACGATGAGTATTTACTTCTGAGAAGTATACTGAAAATTTTCATGAGAAAAAGCAAAGCAAACAACCAAAAATCCACTTTTCACTGTATGGCTGAAAAAGACCCAATGGAGCTGGACACAGAGCTAGAAAAAAAAAATAATCTTACCTCTCTTCTTCAGCTTTAATTTGGAAGGCATCTTCTAGCCAATCTAATAATTTGTGTGTAAATTCACTAACATCTTGCTGTTGAAAAATATAAAGTTATCAGTATATGTTCACATATGTAACAGAACACAATGAAGTGTCCCCTTACAAGATTAGTATAGCAGTATTCCCCCCGACTAGAGCTCCAAAAAAATCACACTATGTCTAAGACTATGCCATGATTGGGTTTTTTTTATGCATGGCTCTTAGAGCACACTAAGGCTCTGGTGTTCCTCAGCCATTACACTGTCCTGTGATCCTTGTTACTTGGGCTCAGCTTTCATACCATGCTCGTCCAAAGGCATCTTATGAATCCCATTGTTCAAACCCTTTGGTATCTCACAAGTGGTGACTAATATTACTTTCATCTAGAACTAAATTCAGCATGCTGTTGTAATTAAACAGCTTAGCCGTATAACCTCATGTGGGAAAAAATAAAGCATCCCAAGACACAAAGTGTTTCTCAGAAAAGCAAAATATACCTGCTATGACTTAGGCAAGAATCCTGAAATATGAATATTAGGACCCTCCAAACCAATATCCACACAAATAGTATACTAGGACTGTACCAGCCCTGGATGTACTGTTAGATCACAGGAATAAAGCTCTTTCAAAAACCACAGACTTAGAAGTTAAACTAAACCCTAAAAGAAAGAATGTGGAACTATTAGTTAGCTTCTAAAGTAGCAAGGAGAAAGTGCACTGAATAAAACAGTCATGCTGTCCAGAATTATATTATAATTTTTTTAATAAAAGTGGCTAGAGATCACATAATATTAGAGAGAAAGCTCAAAGATTGTGACAATTAGAAGTTTATTTTCTGTGGACATTTTGAACTTTTGTTGTCCATTTAAATTATTTCCTATTGTCAGGATACCATGTGAAAACATGCATAAGCTTGAATAAAAATACATAGGAATTACCTGTTGGGAATCATTTGATTTAAAAGCATTTTTAAGGATTTCAACCGCTCTTGATGGGTCAACATATTTTCTCTTCGAACCAACTAGAAGTGCAAACAGGTACCTCAATTCACGCATAAAAGGCAGATTCCTATGTTCCTGAATTTGAAGAAGAATAAAAAATATTTAACAAAGCAGTAACAAAAATCTGCTTTATGGAAGTGTTACCCAATGAACTGAGTGTATATCCAGCCAATCATCGTAATATGGCAGCTTACTTGTAGCACTACCAAGGTAGTGTTGCATGCCTTTTACTTGTCAGTTTTACAAAATAATGTAGTTCTCTGGGAAGAAAATTACATTTCAGAAACTGAAAGCTCCCTGAAACCACATCTAGATGTGGCTGTTTGACTTGAAATGGGGCTGAATGGGCAAGTGGACAAGCTGAGCTGCATTTAAGACAGAACTGTTGTTCCCGAGACTTACAAAGCCTTAAGTAATGCACTGCCACAATATGCATTGATTTTATTGAAATTAGTATCCCTCTATACCTCTAGCAGAATTTCTTGTGAGCCTACACACTGCCTAGTACCTTTATAAGCTTATTTTTTACTGAGGAGTAAATTTATAAGGTGTACACAAATCATTATTATTTTCTTTTGACAGAAGTAAAGAACTAGCCTGCTCTCCTTTCTACCTATTTTTTTTAACTATAGTTCATGGGGAATATGGAGTTCTTTATCTGGTTTCCAGGAGAGAAGCAGAAGAAATACTTTCTGCCTGTATAATGAAAAGCAAGTTAACTGAAACACAAGTCTGTCATACCATAGATTAAACCACAGGTTACAAATGCTGTGGAGATTGGATATCACTCATACTCCTGAGTAGATAGTTGACAAATACTTGTGAAATTAAAACCCATGTAATATCCACTTGTATTTAGAACAAAGTATCACTCAAAGGCAGCACAGATGTCAGATGCTGGTCAAACTCGAATTACTTGATGACCAACTATTTCACACGCTCATCAAACAGCAGTCTTGTCTAGTCACTCCTGTGTCAATCCAGTATGCATAAAGCTTTTTGTACATAAAGTCTGTTTTAGTTCAGCTTTAAAAACTGTGTGGTGAATTGGAACTATGTATGCATAATACATAAAAAAATACTTCTAGTCACGTAAGTTTCCAAGTTTTGCTTGCTCTTCTAGTCCACCTTGCAAAACACCTGCCAATTATAAACAATGTTCACAGAAAAGGCTGAAGACTTCATCAAATCCCACCCTAATTCAGCATTAAATGATCATAATTAAAGAATAAAATCAGTCTCTCACTTACATATTTAAAGCACTTTATAACAACAAACCAGGGAAACAAATTATGAAAGTGATTTTTTTCTTGCCATTTTCATAAAGTGGATCTATTAAAAATGAATAGAATTTCAAGTTTTAGATACAGATGTATTTTATCAAGATGCTTCAATACTAGCAGTAATTCATCTGCATAATATACATAAGTGACCACTGAATACTCTAAATCTCACCTTCCTTTTGTTAAATCTGAAGTTCATAGGCAATGAGTATTATTGCATTACTTACTCAAATTTACACTACTAATTTGGATGCGTTTTAAGCATACTTGTAGCTTGAGGTTTAAAAACTGGCTACTGATGTCAGTATGATTACTCAGAACAAGCATCTCTGTAAAGCCTATAAAAGTTCTCTAAAACTAGAAAAATGCTTGTTTTTTTGAGAAAGCTTGATTTAATGCATTAGGCATGATCCTTGATCAGATTACGTTGGTATTACCACAACAAACAGTGATTCTGACTAAACAAAGCCTAAAATCTTCAAGAGGACATGAGCCAATCCCCAAGACAAGGTAAACAGTTCCACAAAGGACTTGCATATTAAAACGAAAGAACTACTAAAGTAATCACAGCACAGCATACAGCTCTCAATTTTAAAGCATCCTGTGGGTGCAACACCACAAAAAAAAAGATTGAAATCAACTTTGAAATAAAAACTGTATGGAAAGTCCACAATCTAGAACATTCTCAATTTTATCACTTATCCTGCCTGCATAAATAATTTCTTAATACACTGATGTTGGAACAATTTATGATTAAGAAATGCTTCTAAAGCAATCCACATGTTTAATACATAGCAAACATTCATTACTGTGAATCAGAGTATGCCAGGACACTGGCATAATGATAATGATGAAACAGAGGGAAGGATGTGCTAACCTGTAGCACAGTAACAGACTTCCTCTGGTAATGAAACGTTTCCTGAAGATATCATTGAGGCCAAATACTTAACTGGCCTCACTGCGTACAGCAAAAAAAGATCTGTTCATATGACAGCAAGAGGTAAGAGAACTGGGAGAGTGAAGAGGCTGCAGTAACTACAGAGAACTCTACTTGTTCTACAGAAGGAAGCTGAGGAACACACCAAGGAAGAAAAATGAATTTCAAACAAAAAAGAACAAGAACAGATTGGAGATTTTAAGTGTATGCCCAAGTTTAAAATCCAGACAAAGTCTGATTAGCTGGGACAAACAGGATTGGGCTGCTGCTTGGTTTGGTTTTTTGTTTGGTTTTTTTTTTTTTTTAAGGGAAAATTCATACCAATGATTTCTGGATTAAAAATTTTACATTGCACATTATTAATAGCATTTGGATTCAATATATTGATAAGGAAGAACAAAAACACCCCACTATGCAATATTCCGGGAAGTACAACCATATGCTTTAATTCTAAACCAAGAGACTGTCATGACCCTAGCATTAACCTCTACTTTCCACCAACTGGAAGAACAACAGGATGTAAACCAAACTCTAGAAAATCTGGGATTATTAAAACTTGGTCTTTATTAGCAAGAAATTTGATTCTAGGGAACGTCAGTCACACACAGTAGTTAGTACTAGTTAAAAATAAACAAAACAAAACAAAACAAAAAACTAAGTCGAGATAGCGTTAAAACAAAAGTAAGCAGATGGAAGTAAATTCCAGAGCTTTTGTCAACTGGGAGCTTATTTACAACTTTAAATCAATTTGCCTCTACTTGCTTTCACCTTACAAAGAAATAAAAGCACCAAATTTGGCGGCATGCATCCTTATTTTTACTATTTGTCTAAGTTCCAACTAGTGAAGAGATCTCTTTTCTTAAATTCTCCCCATAACATATTTCAACACTAAGACAATCCATTTTCAGCTGTAGATAGGACAGATGAATATATTAATTAATAATGTCATTTAATCCTGGAACTTAAGTTAACAAAGGAGAGAATACAAACTACTGCCAGAGACTACTAGCAGGCTTGCAGAAAGCAAGGTTTCTGCAGAAATACATATACTTGCCCGGTGTCACACCATTTCACACAACCTTAATGTTGTCTGTCATGATTAGTATTTCTAAGAAATAGCACTTTGGAATCACTAAAGGCATCCAGCTGCTAGTGTCAATGCTTGGGCAAGACGTTTTTCAAAGACAACAGCTTGTTATTATCTATTTCATACCACCTCTTAGATGCCAACTGCTTTTTATACCCTGAAAAATGAAGGTAAAGAACTCCAAGTACTGGAGGATATTACTAAAACAAATTATAAGACAAATAATGAAATACCAGGCAGAAAGTCAATCTAAAAATCAAGAAATAAATATTTCAGTACAACTCTTTGATAAAGCATGGCTTTATTCTGTCTTTCTTACTAAAATACCCTGTCCCGTCACCCTCATGTGACATGTTCGCAATACTACCCATGTTGTGTTTGCACACCATCTCATGACCTAATGCAAACATTTTTTTCCTAAAAAAAAGTCCAAAACACACACAAAATAACCGCAACAAGCGACAGCTTGCTCTTTGAACAGGGTTGGGGGGGCAGGGGAGAAATTACACAGTTCTGACTGAATATGCAACTTCTCTTTTATAGTGCATACCTAGAGGTTTAGAAAATTGACATTATCTTCTCTATGTCTGTTTTCATTTACTTTTTTAATTGCAGCTCTTACTTTTGCTAGTGAATATTCCAGACAAGCCTGCAGTGCCAAACAACTAAGAACAGCCCGACAACATACTCCCTTTTTAAAATCCAAAAGAAAGGGGTAAAAGGCAATAGCCTAACTTCTGGATATGCAAAAGATCACTGCTCTGTAAGCCATTGCTAAAAATCAGGGCGTCGAATGCCTTCACGCTTCATACAGCCACTTCTTCCCCTTTCTTCCTTTCTATTTCCTAACGTAGAAACCAAGGTACCCCCTTGTATCTCCTCAGAGAGCACCCATGAAGGAAAAAAAATTGGTCTGTTTTGACCCTGAGTCTATAACCATTCCCCCTCGCTAGTCTGAGGCCACAAGACACTGGAGCCAAGGTTCCCCCTCCTCACTCACATATGAGTACCAGAATAAGCATGGGAAAATTTATGACAATCATCTCATAAGAAGGCCAGAAGAAACAAGTTAGTAGTAGAAAGCCTAATCTCACATCATAAGTTACAAGTACGTAACATCCCTGAAAAAACAACGAAGTGGCCAGGCCAACACCAACAATGCTGCTTATAAAGCTACGCAGACCAAAAACATGCAGGTAACCAAAAAGCATGCCCATAGCTGCACAGTGTGAGGGGTCTACAATAAAATACGTTTGTTAACAGGAGCTGCATTCACACTGGAAATGCTCACCCACTAGCACCCAGTGCTGCTACAGCTGTATCAGCAAAACCCTGCCAACGAACCTGGTCTAAACAGCAGTATGCTGAGCAAACTCTGCCTCTCGCAACACCCTGCCCCGTACTCTACTGTGAGGCTAATGTGTTTTATGTAAGATCTGTAATAGAAAACTCAGAGAAGTGTTAATTGGCACCTATAAAATCCGTCCTAATTTGAATTACAGAACAGTGCAAAATTCAATGACAAGGGAGAAATGCCCTTATCGGCCACTAGAGGAAGTTAGCTTTTAATTGTACCTTTTGGTTTCGGGGCAAGTCTTGAGCATTTGCAGGAGGATTGAAATTCAAAACTAGTCTTCGAAACTCCAGTAGGTTAAATAATGACTGAAAAGGAAAAAAAAAAAATAATTAAAAAATGTTCAAACATTTCTTTAAACAATATCAAATTCTTTCAAAAGTGCCTTAACAAACTAAATGAAACGTCAAACACATGAAATGCTAAAGTTTCATTTCAGAAACTGCATTTTTCACTTAACTTTGCTAAACATATTTTCAATAGAAGACAATTTTTTTTGCTGAGAGAACAGCATAATAAAAAACCCCTCTCTTTACAGTTAATCATGTAAATGGAACAATAACTTTAGACGATAGGTAAATTACTTTTCACAATAAGAATTTTATTAATTGTATAACTGTCAGTTTAGTTTTCAAATCAAAATTAAAGCCTGTTTAGCCATGTAAAATTCGTCTTGTAGCCCCTCTATCATCTACCTCCTCAGTGCAGAAAGAGTACATTTTTGTACATGCAACTTAAGTCCATTTGCAATTATCAATACTTTTTGCATTCTGTCCACTCCTCCCATTATTACAGGATCTACATACTGTACATTAGAGTGAGGAAACTGGGTTATACATCTTCGCAGGTAAGTAACTGATAATATTCACATTGTATGGACAATAAGACATGGAAACAAGTGTCTTGCAGGGATACTCAAAGAACCCCGCAGGGTAACATAGAGCCTGGAGCCAACAGAGTATAACATTAAGATGACTCCGGGTTGCAAAAATTAAAGTCCAAAGCAGTGGCTGAGAACTGAAGTCCTCAGCACTTGCATAACTGCTGCATACATGCAGAAAGCACTTTAGTTTAAGTTCACTTCACTACCACAAACTAGCATTTTGATAAAGTAAGGGTAGCAGAACAGGTCTGAAGTATTTTAAACATACGTATCAGAGAAGCGCAGGAAAGATTTACCCTCCTGTTCATCCCCTTCGGTTTTTACAATCTATAATTAACTTTTTTTTTCCCCCCTGATCACATATTGCTATTTATTTTGGAAAGGCAGAGCTTGCCTACCCTGGCAATAAACTTTGATCCCACAACTTGTCCCCCACAGGTACAGACTTACATTACAGACCACAGCGGGTTTAATAGGTTTTCAATCCCACAGTGCCAAAAAAGTGAAACAAATGGTGAAGAGGCACTGCATTTATTCTAATAATTTAGAATATGTTGGAAGGAAAAGATGAGTTTGTGAAAAGTTGCTGCATTCCTGACTCCCCTTGTGAAAGAGCCTGTACTGTCTAACCTCTTCCAGAACATCAGAGTATACAGCATCTCCAGCAAAACAAAAAGGCTGAAGTTGTCTTTCCTAACATTTTTAGATTTAAAAATAAAATAACAATAAAAAAAATTCAAACACACCAACCCAAGGAGACCTTCCTGATCTTGCTAATTCAATGCAGAAAACTGAGTAGTTGAGCTTTCCCCTTCGCTCACGCCTCCCTCCCATTTTGTTGTTCAAAATACAGGTTCCCCTTTTATCCATCCTTGCAGAGAAGTGAGATTAAAACACAGAATCTTTTGTTTACTTACTCAAAGCATAGAAAATGTTAATATTTAATTCAAGTGTCATTCTAGAGGTTGATACTAATTGAAGTTCTGTCTCATTATGTAACAGCATTCCACTGGTGGGCTCTTCATCAAGCAAAACATAGCAATGTTTTATGTACAAAATAAACCAGCTGCTGAAATATAATGTCCAAAGACTGACTTCTCTCTATGACTAATCCAAATGCCATCAAAGAGCCAAGCAGCTGAGCTGGCCAATTTCATAATACACACACACGAGTTAAGTACAGAAAACTGTACGAAAGTTTAGAATTTTTGCCTGGCAATCCATCCACAAGTTTTTCACAAAAACTGTATTTCTTTAATCCAGATCTCTAAACTGCAAGCATGTAACTTCATGCTTTACTAAGCTGAACAAACCTATTTCTGCAAGCGGCTGAAAATAATTAAGAGGATTGTCTGATATGCTCTTTTCTTCTTTGGCTTTTTTCTACTCAAAATTTCTTATGCCAGATATTTAGTTATTAAACTTTTCTCCAAAACAGCTTACACTGGGCATGGTTGTACTGAGATGCAGCAGAATGCTCAGTTAATCTACCACCAACACTACTAATGCTAACAGGACAGTATCGTGTTGTAGCTCGTCTATGTGGAGCTAAATCAACTTCAGGAAACTTCTATTTTCATCTAAAAAAGAAGATCATTTCCCAGTGTAAGTGTAAACAGATATACAATAAGCGTGCCTGAGACCAAGCAATTTTTGCGCCTAAAGTACCTGCGGTTCTTCCTGAGGTAAGGAGATATAAACGAGCTCACCTAAACCCTCATCGCAGCAGAGACCTCCCATGGCCAACCATCCCGGTGCCTCAGAAAGGGGACCTGCCAAAACAATTCCCAATTTGCAGAGCCATCTGTTGACCAGGCTTCCTACACCCAGGGTAGGCAACGCCACGGAGCAGAAGCTGTTCTTCTGCTGCCACTGAGAAAGACACAGCAGAGACTGTCCCTGGCCCGAGTGCCACCCGCTGGCCCCAGGCCAAAGCGCTGGCCTTCCAACCACATTGCATGGAGCAGCATTTCATCTCTCACCCACTTGGCTTCAGCTCCAGAAAGGTGTCAGGAGTCCCAGTGTAAGAAAACAGGCTGGATCTAAAAGGTGGATACTTCATATCTACTGGCCTTGATCAAATGTAAATTCACCTTTACATTACATTGGCCTTCACCAATGTAAATTATGCAAAACTTATGCACGCAAGAAAAATTTCTCTAAAAGCTGGGTTTTTTTCCCCAGTGTATTTAACCGATTTAAAAGCTGTCACCTGGAAACTTGACCAAGCCACGGCTAAGTTATATCAACTCAAATTATCATGAGATTTTCAGAATACCTGCCTCCTATTATACAAATCTGGGGGCTGAACAAGAGATTAAGAGAAAATGAGAATAAATGACAGCAACACAAATCCAGTGTCAGTTTCGGGCATTCAAACTAACCGTGCTGAATGACAACAGATATGCTGTGGCTCTCCTGTGCTATAGGTGGTGATGATGTAGATGTATTTTCTGGCATGCCAGAGAGAGCTAGGTAGAGTTGCAGCTTCAAGACTACAAGACATTAAAAACATTCACTTTTCTAAGTACTGTCTACCCACACTATATAGAGTCCAAATGCAATTTCAGAATATAAGATACCTTGGTTTCACCTAAAACACCCTGCTTATCCCCTTTCCCCCCTTAACGTCTAGGATTATCAAACATAAGGCCCGTGGCAGAATTTAGATTGCCTGAGTAAAGGATTAATTCTTAACATTCAAGAACTGTGATGCTGCATTAATACTGCAAGAATATAAATGAGTCAGCATACTAAATCCATAAAAGCTTGGCACGCAACACAGATCATTAAGAGCCACCAGCAGAGTCCTAAAATAGTAAAGTTACTGACATCAACAAAACTTGGAGAGTAGTAAAAAAGTACTTCTGCGTCTAGATAAAAGATGGCCTACCAAGCTGCCGCACAGAGCTTTACACAGGCACTCTGTGATGGATTCTTCCAAGTTCTACAAGCACAGGACACTAAAAACAGCTGTTTCACTAATGGATGTATGAAAACCTTTTGTTTTCTTTGACTAGCAATTCTGTATTTGTTTCCACTGTTGAGGGGGAAAAAACAACGTTGCACAAGAACAGGGGAATTTTTAATATTGATCACCTTTACACAAGTTTACATGAAAATCCTAATTTCATAATACTGTGAACACAGCCATCTTCCCATTCATTCGTAAAGATTAAACTTGGAAAGAAGGAAGGACTTTCAAATTGATCTGTGAAACTAATATTCTAATACTAAAGCGATTCAGCCTACTAATTCTAAACCAGTCAGCAAGATGCCAAAAACATTCTCACTGGGCCGAAAATCATCTAGGATCCTTAAGCAGGATGAATACATTTGACCAATGCTGTAATGGCTGCAGAAAACCCAGTCGTCTTCTAAGCTGATAAGAAAAAATTAAGTAAAGAAAGAAAATCACAGTTACTAATGAAGCTTAGCAAACCAAATAGGACATACCTATTTACATACAGCTGGAACACCCTCGGCATATTGTGAAATCATAGAGTAGTTTAGGTTGGAAGGGACCTTGAAGATCATGAAGTCCCACCCCCCCTGCCATAGGCAGGGGCACCTCTCACCAGACCAGGTTGCTCAAAGCCCCATCCAACCTGGCCTTAAACACCTCCAGGGATGGAGCTTCCACAACTTCGATGGGCGACCTGTTCCAGTGTCTCAGCACCCTCAGAGTGAAAAATTTCTTCCTAATATCTAACCTAAATATACCTTCTTCCAGTTTGAAGCCATTCCCCCTCGTCCTATCACTACCCGCCCTAGTAAAAAGTCCTTTCCCAGCTCTTCTGCAGTCCCCCTTTAGGTTCTGGAAGGGCACTACAACGTCTCCCCGGAGCCTTCTCTTCTCCAGGTTGAACAGCACCAACTCTCTCAGCCTCTCCTCATAGGAGAGGCGCTCCAGCCCTCGGATCATTGAAATGTGGTCATAATTCAGGTTTCTTTTAGAGCAGACCAAGAAAAGCTGTGCAATTTCCATTCTTGTGGCAGGCCAGTTTGTAAGCTCGCTTTTACCAAAGTGAAGGGGATTAACAACAGGCAAGGATGCCACGACTAGCGTAGGTGTGCGTAATGATACCTATTTGTCAGCAGCAAATACTGGCTAGGAATTTGTCCAAATTAGTGCCATGGTTTGAGATTTAACAGGAGAAAAATACCAAGACTAACTTGAATTTTGGCAAAGAAAATTTAGGAAGGACTTAATTTGACTAATAACAAAAAACTAAATATATCTTATTAGTACAGC